TGATCGACTTAAAAACAGATGCCATCCGCCAATGATAATGGAGACACACACAAACACAGTCACCGCTTTTATTAAGTATACAGATGTTCACTATTGAGCCCGACAATTCCGATTAAACATAGTAGTCCTTGACCGGCATTTCCACACGTGAACTCACGAAATATCTTACTCCTATGACCTTCCAATCAGCGTTAACAAGCGAAAAGCTGATTCCCTAGCAATTCTCATGAAACCACGTTAGAATACATACTCGAAATATGGGCTATTCGGTAACAGTCATACGTTAAATTGCCCTTGACTATGGAAGCATATGTATCCGAAAATTTTACAAAGCGATTATTTTCCAACGAAAGTCTACTTGTTTTGCCTTATTCACTCGTCTTTTTTGCATGAGCAGGCTTTCTCTAAATTTAAAACCTTAGTTTACCTATCATGCCCGATTTCCACTTTTTCGAAATTTTCAGCTTTTCTAAAAAGGCTGGTATTTCCAAACAACATAGTATTACTTGATAAACCACAATATACCCTATTTTGAAGGACGAAAATTACTTTTTTGCTCTAAGCCTTTTGGGAGACGCAACGTCAGTTGCGCTTTCGTAACAGGGGTTTCCTTCTAAAATCCTTAGATGTCATCAGATAGGGAATCCGATGTTTATATTTTGGTTATGGGAGACTCGAGTCGTAAAAATACGAGCAGTTTATTGCTTGCACTTACACTAACAGATGGACCCGTCTTGGCGATTGGTGGCAGATCTCGCATCCATTCAAGTTTCTCGGGTTCAAGCTCGCTCATATGCGGGATGGTAGGATCAGGCTGAATTGGCAGTTCAAAGTCAACGCTCGCGGCCTCCTTGGATTCGGTGGCCTTTTTGGTTGGTTTGGAACTACCAGTGTGTCGCAACTTGCTGGGGTCCACTAATATTATGAGGGAAAACACGAAGCCTGTTATCCACACAAAAAAAACTACATAGGCGCAGTTGGAAAGCGATCAGTCGTGCCGCACTTATAAGAAAACCGAAGATTACGGAGAATAAGCAGCAGAATTGACTTGCCATTCTTGTCCCGCATCAAGAAGGACAGAATCTTCGGATCTAAAAAAGCGTGAGAAACTTTTAAGAACTGGAAACCCTTAAGCAAGGTCTATTGTCAAAAATACAGAAGTATATCAGCACCGGGTCTATAAATGACCAAAATAATTCATACTCAAATACAATTAAGTGACGGAAGCAAAGTATGATGCTTCCGAACTGCAAAGTTAAATGCAAAAATGACGTGGAAAATGTGTCCCCATAAACTTACTCCCAGGAAGGACAGCTGGCAAAAACAGGGGGTTGGAGGGGGAGGGGGGCGCGGAGTGGGATGGCCAATTACGGCTTATCAGCTCTCGTCAGTCAGATATATTCAATCTCAAGTTTGGATAACGTTTTCTCTAAACCGGAACCTTTGGCTATTGAAAGTTGAGTGTACAACGTTCTACCATTGGGTTGCGGACCATCCGTCTTGAGGTTTGCAAATGGGAATACCCACTGTCATTGAAAATGCGTTCACTGATTAGCTTAAGGAACATCGTCCGGTTGCCTAGGGACAAGAAACAACGCGCAGAAAAGGAAGACTTCGGTTGGGTATGACTGGCTGGCCAGCGACTGCTATGATTCTATAAATGACCACACCAACCCCCCTTTCTTTGTCGGGATTCCTTCCTGCATCAATACTGATTGGTAGGCGACGGAACTCCAGAGCGCAAAGGAGCGAGCCTATTCTGTAGTCGGATCAGTGAACATCCATCCTACGATAGTTAATATTCTCGAGAACAACTGACAGAATACGGGGTATTACTATGTTGTGAAAAGCTAAGGCTTGTGCCACCCCAAACGCTTTGTTTTAATTCCCAAGGCGAGCAAGGAGGACAAGGTCGCAAGAAAAGGAAGTTTTTATTGTGTCCCCA